GGAGTTCTCAACTCGTCTGAGATGTCTATCCTTTAAGGAAAACCACATAAACGCATAGTTTTACAGACAACTATCTAGACTATGATCATGACGGGAGACATAGAAATACTTGGCATTGCTGGATTCCAGGTAGTAAAAGTCGCATGGATGGTTGGGTGGTCTTTTTTTCAATTTGAAAATTAGCAGGATTGAGTGCAAAGTATCCAACGGTAAGGGAGGCTTAGGGTATATTGGTTTCAAGGATACATATGTTTTGTGGAACATGTTTGAGGAAGAAAAAAACATTTTTTACTGACTGATCTGCTTTTCGCTCAAAATTATAGGTTCGGGCTAAAACGCGCTACATCCAAAGATCCCATGTACAATCTTAACAAATGCATCCTTGATACACCCTTTTTCGATGTACCCTAGGAGCCTGGGCCTAATAAAAATTCTAAAAGAAAGTTAGAAAGAGAGTAGACCAATAAAAATGACAAACGATTATTACCATGCTGAATTGTCATCCTATCGATTCAATCTAAATTTTCTTTCGATTTCTGGACCTCTTTCGTTTCTTTTTTTTTTCAAAATTGTTTTATTTTAGCAATGTGTTACATATCACAGATTGGACCTTTTTTATTCGAAATGAATTTTATAAACAAACAATAACATAATACTAGCAATCAGCGATATTGAGTGTAGTTAAATACAATTATTTCTCCATCATCCTCCTTCACAACTTTCCAAAGTTTATGATTCAGACTTTTTTCCAAGACAACAATATTGCTGTGTTCCACTGCCTTCAAGACTTGAATACCTTCTCTGAAAATTACTACCGTTTCATTCAATGCTTGTTTCCCTGTATTTTTACTTGAAGCATTTTGAAACAATTGTGTTTTCAATCATTGTTCCGAATCCTCGATTTCTATATTCCGGGAAAGTAAACTGATGATTCAATTGTCCATGCAGTCCAACCATTTCAAATGCGACAGCTTTATCTTTGTGGAGAATGCATGCCGTTGGAAGGCATTCAATGATTTCTCTGAAAATCAAAATTGAGGAATTTGAATGAATTGTGCTCTCACTTGATTTGCAAAATTCCATCTGGAGTTGAAAACTTCCATGTAGAGAAGACGATTTCCGTATCAGATACTCTAGTAGAACCAATGGAATAAGATTCAGGAAGTGTGATCTCATCTACTTTCTTTTGAATTCCTGGATAAACATATTCAGGAAGATAGAAATGATTGCAGGCAACATTGTAATCCTCAGAACAATTTGAATTGTCGAGGAAGAATTTTCTCGCCTGAAAACTATTACTGTATTGCCTTTTGGGAGAAATGTGATATGTGTTACCGCGATGGAAAGTTCAGATGGAGCGACTAGAAGTTCAATGTTTCCAAGATCAGGTTCCATGGCTTTTATCTGTTCTAATCCATAGATTACGTCATTTTGATTGACCGTCTTATCGCTTCCGATCATTAGAATTGGTCTGTAAGATGGCGCTATTTTAAGGAAAACCTAATAAATGCATATAAATCTTACCGACAACTATCTGGAATACGATCATGCCGGAAGACATAAAAATACTTTGCATCATTGGATTCCTGGTAGTAAAAGTCGCATGGATGATTGGGTAATCTTTTTTCTAGTTCAAATTTGGCAGCATTGGCAAACAAAGCAAACTTTGGTTTGGATTCAAAAAAGGGTATGAAATCATTTAATTTTTCAGAGGATAGTTTGCAAAACATAGTGGAATGAATGCGACTGGGCAGCGAAAACGCAGATAAGAAGGTCAGAAAAAGAATGAGAAGTGATAAGTGAATGATAAAGATGGTACTGTCTGCTCGATGACCTTGGTTTTCTGGTCGTTTCTAGCCAAAAAATCAATTAATTTTTCAGAAATAAACCCATTTGTTTCAAAGTAAACCTTTTAGAATTTGTTCAAAACTTCACCGGCTAAATATAGTATATGCGAAATTATATTATTGGAAGTTTTCGATTTAAAAATTATTATCAGGTCATATCTGGAAAAGAAACCAAACTGTTTTACAACTCGGTTGTCACTTCTTTTCCAGTTTCCTCTTGCTCATCAATTTCCTTCTTGGGTGGCACATTCAACCGAACGCTGAAGACTACCTGAAATCGAAGATTTCCTTACATTTTCTGGATTTCAAAGTATTTACCTTATGCTGAATATCCCAGTAGACACAACACCCATGATAAAAAATTACCATGAATACATCCAAATATTCAACGAGTGCAAATAATTCGTATGCTGAAACTTACGATTTTTGTTGGGATAGAGATGGATTCCTTAAAATTGGACCAACCCCAAGTGAAACAAGCTTTCCAGTAGAGCGCATAAAATGTTGCAATTGCAGGTGCAGACAGAAAATAGCAGATACTTATTCCAATTTTCACATGATACGAGATTCGTCCCTGAAAATAAGCTATTTTAAAATACTGACTAGGGAACTATCTGCGCGGGATTCCAAGTTACACTTCGTGACCTATATCATTAGAAATCCCATAAAATTCTGCTTCGGAATATGTTTTCTGTTTTTGCGAAACGGCGGTGAGCTTCGAGAAAACTAGGTAACAAGACATTTTAGTGGTGTTTGAACCTGTTGATTTTGCATTGAAAACCGTCACGTCGATTTTAAATGAAAAAGCAACATGTTTAAACAGCACTAAAATGTCTTGTAACTTAATTTTCTCGA